ACCACCACACACACACACACACACGTGCGACAAAGCACCCATACATTAAATCCTTAAAAAAAAAAAAAAAAATCATGGAACTGGAGAGAGGTTAAAAGTGCTGGTTGCTTTTCTGGAGGTCCTGAGTTCAATTCCCAGCAACCACATGGTGGCTCACAACCATCTATAATGAGATCTGGTGCCCTCTTCTGGCCTGCAGGGATACATGCAGACAGAACACTGTATATATAATAAATATTTAAAAAGAAAATCATGGTTCTTTGTATTGACAACAAAGCCATTGCATTTCCTTAATTCTTTCTCTCTGAGAAGATTTTAGATTCTCCTCTCCCCAGAACTGCAACACCTTTTCCCCGTACTCACAATGGAAAGCTAAATTTCATTTCTTTTTTCTTTAGTAATGGAAAGTTCTTTATTAAGACGTCTTCCCCTTTCCACACAACCCATGGGTTACTATGTGTAACCTGACTGCCTTAACTGCATCCTGACCCTGAGAACAGCCCAGGCAAACTATAGACCAGAATGTCAGCAGGGCAGACTCACAAAAGGGCAAATAAGCACAGGCTGAGTGAGACCACCTGCTGTGAACCACTGCAGAGGGCAGCAATGCCCTGGGTTCCCCACGCTCTGTCACTCTAGTCAGAAAACCCATCAGACTCCCTGAATCTGTAACAGAATACTTGCTTTTCTAGTTCTGAAGGTTTTTTTTTTTTTTTTTGGTTTTTTTTTTGCTTGTTTGTTTGTTTGTTTGTTTTTGGTGGGTTTTGTTTGTTTTGTTTTGGTTTTTTTTTCTAGACAGGGTTTCTCTGGTATAGCTTTGTAGACAAGGCTAGTCTCAAACTCACAGAGATCCACCTGCCTCTGCCTCCCGAGTACTGGGATTAAAGGCGTGTGCTGCCACCACCCAGCCTTGTTTTCAGTTTTAACTACCCATAATTCAGTGCAGGGGTGCTGGGTTCTTACCTCTAATCTTAATCAGGTTCTTGTTTTTCTTCCTGTTGGTGGGGGTCACCATAAGCTTTCCAGGAAGACTGTTGTATTGTCACACTTTCCCTTCTAGCCACCCCCCACCACCACCAGTCACAGTACCCCCACTTGCCATCTCTACGTCCTCTTTTCTCCTCTGGCCCCTGTAATCAGATATATGTTTCTTTTCTTTCTTGGTGGCCCTTAGTCTTCAGCCCTGTTGCCATGGTGGTCAAGCACAGTGGCATCACTGGTCCAGCTGACCACTCTTTATTGAATTCCTGGATACCACATTCTCTGGCTTTTCTTCCTCTGTCCTCCTGCTCAGCCCTCTGCCCCTCTCCCGTTTTGGCTGACTGTTGCTATACCCCAGAACTGAGACCTGGACGTCTCTGCTTTCCCCAGGTGCTTCCATGTGGCCTGGTGGCTTGAAGCCACTCAGTCCTCTCATCTCCAGCCTCCTGTCCCACTGTCATTTCAGTGTCCTCACTTGGATAGTAGGTCTGTTCGAAATATGGCTCCTGATTTCTGTCTACCACTTGCAGGCTGGTAGCAACATTTGCTATTGGGACTGATGGGGAACATAAGCAAATTTCATTTTCTTACTGCAAGTTCATTCCACTAGAAAGTCCAGTAAACTTTCAGTCTTCTCCAGTGTGGCTGCTTCTAGCCACACCACTGTGCCATCCTGGTCCTCTAAGGTCTAGGAGGCTGCCTGCCGGATTGCACTTGATGTTCTCTGTAGCGGATTTTCTAGCTGCGTCCAGTGATCCCCTCCCCCCTCCCGTGTGTGTGTGTGTGTGTGTGTGTGTGTGTGTGTGTGTGTGTGTGTGTGTGTGTATTGTGTGTGCACATGCAAATACACTAACCAGAATAGAACATCAGTGTCTTCTATTGCCTTCCACCATGGTTTTTTGTTTTTGTTTTTCAAGACAGGGTTTCTGTGTATAACAGCACTAGCTGTCCTGAAACTTGCTCTGTAGTCCAGGCTGGCCGCAAACTCAGAAATTGCCTTCCTCTGCTGCCACCACTGCCCAGCTCTCCACCTTGTTTTTGAGACAGGGTCTCTCGCTGCACCTGGCTATTCTGGCTGGCCAGTAAGCTGCTAGGATCCTCTTCTATCCTTCCCTGCCCCCTCCCCAGTACTGTCTAGGATACAAGAATGGGCTCAGCTTCTCACTTACTGAAGAATCAAATGCAAGAAAAGTTTGAAAGGCAAGCAAAGCCCAAGTTTACTCAAAGAGGATGATTTTATTAGAGTCTAAGAGAGAAACTCCAGGGCAGGCAGCTTTCAGTCTTGGTGTCTGAAGGCCTGAAAGGGGGCACAGCAATGCCATTTGAGTTAAGTGGGCCATGTGAGGGGAACTACAGAAAGAGTCAGAACCAGAAAAGGCATCCTTAGTTTCTGGCTAGCTTCTGAAGGGGGCCAGGGAGGGAAAGTTGAACTTCCATTAGAAAGCTGGATAGACCCAGTAGAACCACAGTGGCTAGGGACCGGAATTCTGGGAAGGGGAAGTATGGTATCTAATTAAAGGGCTAATCATTATGCCTGTTCCTTTAGTGTGGCCTAAGGGGAGCCTGCCTTCCTACCATGGTGCCTTGTTCGGGTGATTGACTAGCCCAACTGGTTAACTCTTTGATGGTTTTGGTAGCTTGGAATGTTAGGTCTCTGCCCAGGCCAGAGATTACATCCTCTTAATCAGAAAGAACTAGTTTTCCCTTTATGGGCCTTTACTGTTACTGTATTGTTGCCCCCTCTAAAGAGAACCCTGAGCCGGGCGTTGGTGGTGCACACCTTTAATCCCAACACTCGGGAGGCAGAGGTAGGCAGATCTCAGTGAGTTCGAGGCCAACCTGGTCTCCAGAGTGAGTGCCAGGGTAGGCTCCAAAGCTACACAGAGAAACCCTGGAGAGAGAGAGACAGACAGAGAGAGAGAGAGAGAGAGAGAGAGAGAGAGAGAGAGAGAGAGAGAGCCCTAGCCCTGAAATTGTTTGGGAGATGGGCTAAGGTTGGGGAGCTGATAACCCATTTCACTATGGAATTCGAAAGCTCCAGTTCCAATGCTGACCAGAGAGATTATTGTCTGGCCTGGCTGGTGTTCTAGTCCCTACCATGGTGTATGGCTCCAGGCGGGGCTATTGGCTTCCAAGGAGGCAAGGAGCCAGGGCTTCCTTCCGGCATTCCTGGCCAGAGACCGAAGGACATTTGTAGAACATTTGCTCTTGAGCTGCATGTCTGGTGTCTAGTGCCTGTTTTCATGGCACACCAATGTCATAGGCACCTGTGGCCATGCCCAGCCTTGAATGTGGGTACTGGAGACTTGAATGTGGCTTCTCTTGCTTCACGCAGTGAGTACTTTTTCCCACTGAGCGGCCTCTCCGTCTCCAGAGATGCTTTAAGTAGAGTTGGGTTGTTTTAGTATTTTGTTTAACCTCTCCCCCGATTTAAAATTAAAATAAAAAACCCTGGTGCTTTCCTGTTACTTCCCATCATAGCATCCTTCTCTGAAAGAGCCTGGAGCTCCACACTGTTGCCTCAGTTTACCCAATCCTCATTTTGTTTGGGGTGGGAGAATCAGGTTTCCTTTTTGTAGGTCAGGTTGGCTTCAGACTTGCCAACTTCCAGCTGCATCCCAAGGACTAGTGTGATAGGTGAGTGCCACCGCACCCAGCCACTCCCTCTTCAAGCTTAACTACCCATCTAAAACTTTAGCCCTCTGCCCTGCCCTGCTTTCTTCACAATGTGTGTACTGTTCTTTTTCCTTAGCCCTCTCCCAACCCAAGCACAAGGTCCTAAGGTTGAGAGCTTTGTCTGCTTATCACTATGTTCTGTCTCCTAAACAGCCAGTGATTCTTGCCCCAGGAGACATTTGAGCATGTCTGGGAACATTTCTGGTTGTCAGAGCCTGGAAGGGCTGACCACTAGTAGGTAAAGGGCAAACATCTTCCATGTGTAGGGCCGTGTTCTACAGCACAGAAGTACTGACCCTCAGCCAGGAGAGGCTAAGCATGCCCTGCTGACCTAAGACGACGACGTACAGTTAATGTCAGTGGGTAGAACAAATCAGCAAGTCTTTCATGTGGTGAGTGAAATAGTGGGCTTAGGTATTATAGTGGATTACGCCAGCACCTCACACTGTTTGACAGTTGAACCAAAACTCTCTTCAGAAAATTCTGTGACTGAGAGTAAGAGTAATCTCTCCTGGGCACCATGTGCTGCCTGTGACCCCAGCACTTAGGAGCTGGAGACCGAGGGGCCGAAAGGCTGAGGTTATCCTCTGCTTCTCAGTGGAGTTTGCAGCCAGCACATGCAGCTTTTGACCCTGTCTCAATAAAAAGCCAGAAATGAAACAGAGACGGAAAAAGTGAGTTAGTTCCAGGCCAGCGGTTTACACCTGTGATCCCAGACTCTAGGAGCCTGAAGGAAAAGGGCTGTTATGAGTTCTAGGCCAACCAGAACCACAGAGGGAGCACTGGACTATGCAGCAAGACTGTCTCTAACAACAAAAATGGCCTGGAGAGATGGCTCAGATGGAAGAGCTCTTTCCTGGGTTCAGCTCCACACAGTGGTGGCTCACAACGGCCTGTAACTCCAGTTCTAGAGGATCTGATGCTCTCTTCTGGCTCCTGAATGCTTGTGGTCTGCATTAATTCATTGGAGGCAGGCACGAACACACACACACACACACACACACACACACACACACACGATAAATAAATATTTCCTAAAGCCACAAACCTCACTACCACTACCACCACCACCTCAAAACAGAAAGAAAGAAAAAGAAATACTGGAAAAAATAGAGTTTCTGATTAGAACAGTGGTGCTGTATTGATCTTTTGATCCCTCCTAAATAACAGTAATTCCTGGTATATGAGGGTGCTTGCTTGCTTTCTTTGTCCACAGAATATTTTCCTAAGGAGACTATTTTCATCACGTGTAGAGAGGAAAGAGCGCCTCCAGCCTGTCAGGGGGTCTGCTTACTGCTTACTGTAGTTGCTCTTCCGTCTGCGGTAGATGGACTACAATGCCTGCTAAACAGTACACACTGAGCCATGTGGACAGGCCTTGAGGCAAAGAAATCAGAACTGTTTTCAGACATCCTTGTCTCCTATTTCTCTCAGTTCCCACAACTAATCAAACAACTGGTCCCAGAGGTGCGCTGTCAGAAGCCACACCACATGCTGCTTCCAGCACCTCCAAGGTGTTGTCCTCTGTTACAGTCCCCTGCCTGGTCTTCATGCTTCCACTGTGTCCACACACCGGGCCAGAGTGATATTTTTGAAACACAGCTTTTAAAATCTGGCTGTAATTTTCCATCTCATTCAGAATGAGCTCACAGATTCTTCTGTGACTTGGGAGGCAGGCCCCTCGTGATCTTACCTCAATTATCAGTCTTTCCTCTGTGTCTTCCTGGTCATGTTGTCAGCGGTGCTATCAACTGAGTGTACGCCACCTGTGCCCTCATTGCTTCTGTTCCTAGATTCCTCATTGCCTGGGTTTGTACAACTCTCACTTCTGTTTAGCCTCTGTCCAGATGGGATTCACCAAAGAGGCTTCTCTGACTTCTATTTGTAAAGAGACCCCTTTCTCTGTGGCATTTAGTGTCTCTGAAGATTACGTATATTATTACAAGATTACATTTCTGCATATATGTAATATCTATGCACATATATCTTATGTATATATGACATCTGTTTTAGTCTGTGTTTTACAATGGGAGTATAAGCTCCATACATGCCAGATTCCGTTTGCTGACTGCTCTGTCTGCAGACCCTGGATGGAGCCTGTTGTCCTCATGATGGGCACATGGCACGCATTTCTTGAATGAGCAGGCAAGTGAGAAGTGAGCGATGATTCCCCATTGTGGTCATCTTAGGTTCTTTCATTATGTGAAACCTAAGTGAAAACCCTCTGTAGTTGCTGCTAAAGATCTGTATGAAAACCCCCTACTGTTCTATTTCATTTCTGTAAGCTATCTTAACAAAAAGCAACTTAGGAGAGCGGGGTTTATTTGGCCCACAACTCAGAATGTCTTAGTTAGGATTTCTATTACTGTGATATATCACCATGACCAAAAGCAAGTTGGGGAGCAAAGGGTTTATTACACTTCTACATCTTAGTTCATCATGGAAGGAACCAAAGGCAGGAACTCAAGTAGGGCAGGAACCTGGATACAGAAACTGATGTGGAGACCGTTGAGGGGTGCTGCTAAAGCCATGGAGAGCTACTAAATTCTGCCCGTATCAATCACTAATTAAGAAAATGTCCACTGGATTGTCAACAGATCAATGTTATGGAAGAATGTTCTCAACTGTGGTTCCCTCTTCTCAGATATCTAACTCTAGCTTTTGTCACATTGACAAAAGAAAAACCAACCGGGACTCAGGTCACCATAGCAGAGAAGTCACAGTGGCAGGGGCTCAAAGCAGTTGTCATATCTTCCCATTGTAAAGGACAGAGAAAATAAATGCAGCAACACTCGCTCATGGCTAGCTTCCTGCTGAGTTTCGTCATTCAGGACTCCCTTCCTAGAGAATAGTGCTCCCCGTTATGGGCTGGGTCTCCGTCTATAAACTAACAGCCAAGATGGTCCCTCCCTAGCCAATCTGATCTACAAAACTCTTCCTGAAGACTCTCTTCCCAGGTGAGTGTAGGCTGTGTCAAGTTGAGAGTTTAAAACTAAGTAACATATCTATTCAAAAACATAACTATATTGAGAATTACTCTGTCCCACCTCCCAGATTCCTACGAAGAAGCTCATGAAAACTGAGGTGTATTTTATTTTGGAAATGGTAACAGTAGTGAGCACATGACTGCTTGTCCCTGAAAGTGTCTCTCGAACCTCACAAGTGTGTCCTCTCATTACAGGCGCATGCCGAGTCTCCTGGAGTATGTAAGTTATACCTGCAACTTCATGGGTATCCTGGCAGGCCCTCTCTGCTCTTACAAAGACTACATTACTTTCATTGAAGGCAGGCCATCCCACATGTCACAGTCAAGTGAGAATGGAAAAGAAGAGCCACAGCATGAAAGAGCAGATCCATCTCCAAACGTAAGGGCATGAGGCTCATCTGGAGCTCTGGCTTTATAGCTTGTCTGTCTGGTTTTCTGGAAAAGTCTAATGTTTTCACTTGTTGTAATTTCCCCATTGATTTCTTTCTTTTTTCCTTCCTTCCTGAGTGTGTATGTGTGTGCAAGAGTGCACGTACATGCATGCATGTGTGTATACACGTGTGTATGTGTGTATGTGTTCACAGAGTGTTCATGTGGTGCGTTGTTAGGGTTTAAACCCAGAGCATTTCCGGGGCCTGTGTTGCTAATGTATTAAGGTAAGTAATGCTACCACTGAATTGCATCTCTGTCCTCCATTTGCAATTTTTGTTTTCATTTTTTAAAAAATGCTTATTTGTCTGAGTGTGTATCGTGTGTAGGTGGGAATCCATGGGGGTCAGAAGAAGGTATAGGATCCCCTGGAGATAAAGTTAGTCAGTGCGAGCTGAGCTGTCTGAGGTGAGTGCTGGGAACCAGACTTCAGTTCTCTGGGAACCGCACAGCACCTCTCCAGCCCTCTTGTCCTGAAGCTGACAGTGACCTTTCTCTGAAGCCTGGCCTTGAACTTGTGACTTTCCCATCTCACTCTCCCTCCCCAAGTAGCCAGAATTACATGTCTGCACCACCTTCCCGGCTTTCAACTATTATAAGTATCTTTCAGGAAAAACAATTCTTTATACTCTACCTAGTTGTGATGTCTAGTAGAGGCAAGATCATGATTAAAGAACAAATGTAAGTCACTGAGTAAGGGGCTGAAGAGATGGCTCAGTGATTTAGAGTACTTGTTCTTGCAGAAGACCCAGTTTCGATGCCCAGCACCAACATGGTGACTCACAATAATGCATAACTCCCGTTAGGGTATCTGCTCTCTTCTGACCTCTGTGAGCGCGAGACACACACACACACAGTGCACATGCAAGCATACAAGTGAAACAATTCATACACATAAAACAAATACAGATTTTTTTTTTTAAAAAAAGAAAGAAGCCAAATTCCTTAGTAAAAGCAATGTTATCCAATGGTGGGTCTTACATGGCAGTCCCTCATGAATTTCTGTCTTCCTGGTCCACCACTGGAAACACTGGAGGCTCCTTTCCCGGTCATGTTCTCTTCCTAATAATGCTAGTCAAGTCTTGCTCAAGGGGCTGGAGAGATAGCTTAGTGGCCAAAGCACTTGCACAAGTGTGGGGACCATAGTTTGGATCCCCAGAACCCATGTAATGGTAGGGTGTCACAGCTTGCACGTGTTTCCGTCCCTGGAAGGCAGATACAGGATCCCCAGAGCAAGCCAGCTAGCATGATTAGTCATATCAGGGAGCACTGGATTTGATTGACAGACCCTGCTTTGGTGATGAAGGGTGATAAAGGTGAAAATATTCCTGTGTGGGACTGTGAGGATCTGAAATGTCCAGGGCAAGGCGCCTCCTGATTTTTGATCACGAGCACTAGGGTTTGTTGCCACATTGCCGCATTCAGGATCTATCTGGTGGCAATGTGTAAAAGGTACAGACAAGAGTCCCTTGAGGTTTGTGACTCTCGCCTACCCCTTCCAGGCAGCAGTTACGGAGAAGCTCCTAGTCTGTGGACTCTCTTTGTTATTTCACTTGACCATCTCCAACATGCTACCCGTGGAGTATAACATCGATGAGCATTTCCAAGCCACTGCCTCATGGCCAGCCAAAGCCACCTATCTGTATATCTCTCTTCTGGCTGCCAGACCTAAGTACTATTTTGCATGGACCTTAGGTAAGTAGCATGCAGACTTATTTCCCTGCTGAAGTGTGTCTTGTAAATCTCAGGCAGTGTCCTGGGGTTTTTATTGTTTTGTTTTTCTGTGATTATGCCCTATTGTACCTGCTGGCCTCAAACTACTGAGTGCAAGCAATCTCCCTCCTTCACCCTTGCTAGCAGCTGAACTCACAAGCACCCCACTGCATCCAGCTCAAGAGCACCCTCTTGAGGATATACAGTTGAAGAGCAAGTAGAACAGTTAGTCATTTTGCCTAAGAAACAAACCCTCAAAGTTCATGAGCAAGGCCTGTTTTATTATAAGATAAAAATCAGTGCACAGTTGAGGTGATAGCAGGTACTTATCTTAATGCCTGTTGTGTGCTAGGTTCTGTGAGCCTGATTGAATACTAACATGCCTGGCATAGTCCCTGTGTCTCCAGGGTACCTATAGTTTAGTAGGATTTCAATACACTTATTGTTATGATACTATTAGATAGTTTATTATGATCAGAACTGCACTAGTAAAGTGTGTGAAATCACATCAGTTCAGAAAAGGGTCCGAGACACCCGCCAGGTGGAACATATTAGAGGAAAGAGTTCTGTGCCTTTAAGACTGAAGAGGTGTGCACATGCCTAGACCGTGACTAGTGTGTTGGGGACTGAATGGGAAAGATGGGTCTGGGGAGAGAGCACCCTCTCTCAAACCCTCCACTGCACAGCTGCACAAGCCTCAGGAGGCTCCAGGTGATGGTTGTCATGAACTTTATCTGCCAGTGTTCAGCATTTTCATGTTCTCGCCACATGAATCTTCTCGAATGTAGCCATGAACTCCCCATGCTCCTGCCTGCATGGTGGAGGGTGGACTGAGGGGGACTGGAGTCTGGTTTGTGTGTCATTTGTCCTTCTCGTTATGCCATAAGCCTCTTTATTCTTAAGACTGTGTCCTGGTCCTTAAGTTTATGTGATGCTCTGTGAACATTTGGATACCTACAAAGAGCACACAACAGAAAGGCTGAGGAGTTGGTACCTGACCTTTGACTGTTGCCTTTATTTTATTATAGTGAACTATAACTTGGAGCTAGAGTCTGTATTTTCTTTCGTGCAGAAATACATCAGTAAAATGACTTTAGCCTGCTAATTAAATGATAATAGAAGATAATGTTACCTTGTAAGAATTTGTTTGGAGACAGGGTCTCCCTGTGCATACCAGGTTGACCTCCATCTCCAAGACCTTCCTTAATCTCTGGGATGCTAGCAGTGAGAAGCTTGCACTATTATGCCTTGTGTGGTTTTAAACTAATATTTCCTTAATAGTGTTTTTATTCTAGCCATATTTAAACACTAATACTAGTGAGATTCCATAAGATCCATGTATGCCTGTCTAAATGGTGGCTTTAACATGATGGGGGCTCTGACATTCTAAACCAACTTTGTCTTTTTAGGTGTTTTTTGTTTTTTTGTTTTTGTTTTTTATTGTTGATGTTAATGTTGGTGAAATGGCTCATTGGGTAAAGGCACTTGTTAGGTGCCCAATAACCTGTGTTCTATCCCAGGGAACCACATGTTGGAGGGAGAGAACTAACTCCTAGAAACTGTCCTCTGACCTCCACACATGCACTGTGGCATGTGAGGTCATACCTACACAAATGTGCACACCTTCAAGAGCCCCCCCCAAATAAATGTAATAAATTAGATTTGAGCCATTAGATTAGTTAAACCACTAGCTGCAAGAATATGGGTTTTCTGTACCCATTTGGATTTGTTGGTAGCCTTGTGTGGTGTGAGTGGGCCTCTCTCATGTTCTTAGCAGATTTTATCTTTAATCCTATTAAGCCTGCACATTACCGTATTGATATGCTCACTATGAAGGCATGGGTGTACCTTTTTTTTTTTTTTTTTTTTTTTTTTTTTTTTTTTTTTTTTGTCCTGGAACTCATTCTGTAGACCAGGCTGGTCTCAAACTCACAGAGATCCACCTGCCTCTGCCTCTGCCTCCCAGGTGCTGGGATTAAAGGCTTGTGCCACCACCGTCTGGCAGGTGTCCCCTTCTTAAACCTGACAGAAGGGTAAATCTCGATTGCTCACTGTCTCACCAAATTGTAGTTTTTTTTTTTTTTTTAATCAAATGAGAAATAAGGAATAAACAACTTGGGGGTAGGATCCATGTCTATGAAGGCATGTTGTTTTGCTGCTAGTTTGGTCAAGAAACAGATGGTATGAGTTAGACACACTTCCAGTTGGTTGGGAAGGACCTACTTGGGGCAGAAACTTCGTATCATGAGCAGGTTTGTAAGCAAAGATGCTGATGGAACGCCATGGTGAAAGGGTTGGAAAGCAGGTTCTGCAGACAGAGTGGGTTCTGGTGAGCCAAGAAGAAAAGAAATGAAGCCCTTAGGCTCCCCCCATGTGTTTCTGTCTATAATAAAGGCCAACATGAACGTGCTGAGCTTGGGGCAGAAGATTCCCAGCAGTGCCTTCCAGATGGCTGAGCACTTTCCACTGTATTCTGATGTGTACCCCAGATTTTTAATTCTGCCTGTCTCCTCTTGCTTCACAGCGGGTGTTTTGTTAGCTAACCAGCTGCCCTTAATAGGGTCATTATTTTCACTGTGTATAATGGTTTATAACCTCTCTTAAAAATTAGAATCAGCCAGGGCTGTAGAGATGATGGCTCAGTAGATAAGGATGCTTGCTGTTGGGCAGTAGTGGTGCATGCCTTTAATCCTGGTACTCGGGATAATCCCAGCACTCAGGAGGCAGATGCAGGTGAATCTACGTGAGTTCAAGGCCAGCCTGGTCTACAGAGTAAGTTCCAGGATAGCCAGGGCAGTATAGAGAGACCTTGTCTCAAAAATGAAAACAACAGCAACAAACTGCTTGTTGCTCTTCCAAAGGACCTGAGTTTGGTTGATTATAACTACCTGTTACTCCAGCTCCAGGGGATCCACTATCCTCTCCTGACCTCCATGGACACCTGTATACATGTAACATGTACAAAAAGAGAAGTACACACACATACACAATTTAAAATAAGAGTAAGTCATGGACTATGGTTGCAGCTCACCAGGAAACGGCCCTGGTGAACCAGAAGGTTCAAGGCCCAGGGTTCAATCTCTCAAATATGACTAAATAAAAAGTCTACTTTTACTGTTTAAGAGTAAGTCATTGTACCTGGGAAGATAGAGTTAAAGGGTAGGCTCGATGGCTCAGCAGTTAAGAGCATTTGTTGCTCTTGCAGAGAAACCGATTTCAGTTTCCGGCACTATCATGGTAGCTGACAAGCATCTGTGACTGCAGTTCCAGGGTATCTAACACCTTCTTCTGGCCTCTGAGGGCACCACAAATGCACATGGTACATAAAACATGCAGGCAAAATACCCAGACATGTAAAAATAAAATCTATCTTTAAAAAAACAAATATGTGTATATATACATATAAATTGTGCATACATTGTAATAACATTTCTAATACTTTACTTTGTTACAGCTGACGCCATTAACAATGCTGCAGGCTTTGGTTTCAGAGGATATGACAGGAATGGAGTGGCTCGTTGGGACTTAATTTCCAATTTGAGAATCCAGCAAATAGAGGTTAGTAAATGATTAAGGCATTTACTTATTTGCTTTCATAGTTATGGCAAGCTGTCCTGAGAGTGATGTTAATGGGTGTGGCCACAGTAGTACCCAGACCTTTTTTTTTTTTTTATAATAAAGAGTTTATTTGGGCTTACAGAAGGTGGGAGTCCATAATGATGGAGTGAAGACAGTGGCAGGAGTAGGATGCTGAGAGCTCACATCTTGAAGTGTAAGCCTAAAGCAGAGGATGAACTAGAAATGGCATGAGTCTTTAAACTGTTTTAGTCCACCTCCAGTGACACACTTCCTCTAATGACACAGACCTCCTAAACCTCCCAAGAAACACTGTTAACTGGGAATCGAGTGTTCACATGGGTGAGACTATGGGGGACATGTCTCACACATGAATTGGTGTTTATTTTTATACGAAGATTCATGCCTGGTCAAGGTACTGTGAGCCAATGACTGTTGAGTGTTCGGCATTAAACTGGCTGCTCACACCACCCCCTTTCAGGGCTGGTGGGGGAGGGGGTGGAAAGAATGTCAAAGCCAAATGACAGGGAGGAGGACCATGGAATAATACCCCTACTTTCACCCCATATTTACTGATGGTAGACTACCCCCTGGGGGATGCATGAATGAGGCTGGTGACTGAAGGTCCTCAGGAAGCTGTAGAAAGTGCTGGAAAGTAGGTTCTAACCTGGAAGGTGCAGGCATACGGTGTTTGTAAATCTGCATCCGTCTTGGGGAAAGTGAAGTAGGGGGTAACCAGGTGAGGGCCTGGCGGAAGAGCAGCTAGTGAGACTGGAAAGGGCAAGCTGTTCCTGAGGCGGCTGGAGGTGGGGCTGGAGACGCAGAAACAATGCTACACACTGCCTCAAGGCAGTCCCAGCACCCCCCGGGCAGCTCGCTACTGTTTCTGATGCTAGTTCCCAGAATCTGATGCCCTCTTCTGGCTTCTAGAAGCATTACATGCATGTGGTGCATAAACACGCGTCAGAATACTCATAAAATAAAATTAAATAAATACAAATAGGGGAGGGAGAGGAAGTGGGTGGTTGCTGAAGTAAGGTGATGGATGGTTTGGTATTTACAACCTTTGACCTTTTAGCGCCACTCTGAGGAACCTTCCAAACCCTCCCTCTCATAGAGAGACTGTTAGTTTTCCACGTTTTTATGCTTATCCATAAAAAGGGTAGGGTTTTCCCACACCCCGAGAACTGGGTGTTATCCTCCTGGAGATGTGAGTGGTGGGGCTGAGGAGACTTTAGTTTAATTTTCTCTTAAAATGTAAAGGTTAGGGGGCTGGAGAGATGGCGTAGTGGTTAAAAGAACTCACTGTTCTTGTAGAGGACCGGAGTTCAGTTCCTAGCACCCATGTCAGGTAGCTCACAACCACCTGTAACTTCCAGGGATCTGAAACTGTCCTCAGGCCCCTGTGGGCACCTGCACACACGTGTATATATGCAGAGGTACACACACACACACACACACACACACACACACACACACACACACACACACACAGACAGAGAGAGAGGGAGAGAGAGAGAGAGAGAGAGAGAGATTAAAATTACTGTGTGGAAATTATTGACTAGAAAGGAGTTTGAGGATGGAGAGTTTGACACAGTGGAGAGGCCCCTGTGTGTGCGGGAGAGAGATACAGCGGGAGGAGAGGTGGCCACACTAGCCCTGGAGAAGGGCACTTTTGAGATGGAGGGAAGCAGGTGTGCCGTGCAGCATGAAGTCTAATGAGGATGTGAAGTATGGTGAGTTTTGTCTTGAGGTAGGCCAGTATCCGTAGATGGGGGCCAGGTCAGCCTGCCCTGAGGGATTTTCAGGGGCTCTTAAAGTACTTGGTTGACCCATAGGAAATTCCTGATGTTTACTTCTTTTATACACACACACACACACACACACACACACACACACACACACAAACCTAAAATTTTTTTGTAAGTGTTTTCAAGATGGGCACAGTTGCCATCAAATAGGTTGGGGACCTAGTTACAGCTGAGGATCATGTCTGTATGGGATGTCTGGAATGTCACAGTCATCATCCAGTGGGAATGGTGGGCAGCCTGCCAGTCAATCATGGGGGATGATGGACAGCCTGCCAATCAGAGATCAGGGTTTTGATAGGTAGATGGGTAGGAAAGGAAACTAGACAAGGACATCAAACATTCTTTTTTTTTTTCAAAACAGGGTTTCTCTGTGTAGCTTTGGAGCCTATCCTGGCACTCCCTCTGGAGACTAGGCTGGCCTCGAACTCGCAGAAATCCGCCTGCCTCTGAGTGCTGGGATTAAAGGCGTGCGCCACCAACACCTGGCTCAAAGATCTTAATCCAGTAAATAGACTGTGGGCTCTAAAGTGCTAAAAGGAGTTAGAGACATACCTGCCCACAGTGATTGGCTGTGCGCTTACCGAGTGTGGAGGCCCTTGGTTTGATCTCACCATCCCATAACTGAATAAGAGGAAGGAAGACAGTTGCACAAGATGACAACAGACAAGTTGCAGCCCAGAAATAGACATACACACCCAGGAAGTGCTAGATTTAATAAGATTAGCTTGACCACAGAGGTTTCCCAAGCAAGTGGCCATAGTCTGAGAGTTTCATAGCCCATTGCTGTCTGGAGCCAGTGTGGAGCTGGGGGCGCTTCAAGATCTAGAGTAGCCACAGGGGCCTGAGAAGCAGTGCTGGGTGGCTATGACTGTGGACAGCCTTCACCTAGAAAGAGACAGAATGGAGGGGAGGAGAAGGTGACACCGTTCAGGACACAGAGGCAAGCAGATCACTGTGTGAGCATTCTGGGCTCTGTGAAGACTCTTCTGTATGTATGACCTGGGAGAACATGGCAATGCTCTCCTGGCCACTGATGTTCCCAGAGATACAGAAACTTCCATGGAAGTTGCTTCTGTATTAGAACAGTGTTGAGGAAGAAACCAGTGCTGTGCCATCATTACCCAGCAGTTTTTAGTTTTAACTTCTTACCACATTAAAGCATTATTATGTAGACATAAAGCTTCTTATTTTATTGGCCAAAGAAAATGATCCCTTTGTTTTTCAGATGTCAACAAGTTTTAAGATGTTTCTTGATAACTGGAATATCCAGACAGCTCTTTGGCTCAAAAGGTATGTTCCTTCAAGAGTCACCCTGGGGCATGCTCTGGCATCAGGATTGGGGTTGAGCTTGCTGACTTAACAGTTTTCATTGTCAGTGTGTTGGATGCCATTGTGGTCTTGATTTTACCCAAAATATGCCATTAGCATCCACTGGAGCAAGGCTTGGAACTGAGCCACAAACATCCCTATGTTGGTGTCACCTCATCCTGGTTCAGGCTCTGCTGATGTGTGGGGTAGCCAGTGTTTTCAGCAGCTACTGCTCTTCTGTATTGGAGATTTGGTATTAAAAACAAGCATATACAGGGTGGTGATGGCACATGCCTTTAGTCCCAGCACTCAGGAGGCAGAGGCAGGTGGATCTCTGAGTTTGAGGCCAGACTGGTCTACAGAGCTGGTTCCAGGATAGCTTGGGCTACACAGAAAAAAACCTGTCTTGAAAAGCCAAACCAAACAAAAACACACAACAAAACAGCCAACTCCTGGGCTTGCCTTGGATTTCTGGAACTGAATGAAGTGTTCTTTGTATGTTGGATATGGAACACAAACATGTAGGACAAAAAGACCCATTGTTGTACTCAGGCATCTGTACTGGCCTGCTCTTGGGGTTCTGACAGGATTCGCCCTTAGCTGCAGCCACTAAGAGCACCACCTGTGCACACTCACTACATTCCCTTTTGAAAGGGCCTGCCCACCTCCCATCTTTCTCTCTGTTTCTCTGCCTGTCTCTCTGTCTCTCTTTTTCTCTCCCCTTCCCCGCTCCCTCTCACTCCTCCTTCCCTCTCTCTGCTCCTGCCCCCAGAGGCTGGCCTCTCTTCTCCCCTCCCCTCTTTTTCCATTCACTTCCCCCCAATTAAAAAAACCCCTCCACCCAAGCTCTATTGCTTGACATCTTTCTCTCTGGAGCCACTTTTTAAAATTACAGCACCCAGTCCCCACTCCATAGTTAGAACTCACAGTGTCCTCAACATTATAGCTGGAGGTTGCAGAGATGGCTCAGTAGTTAAGAGCATTTGCTGCTCATGCAGAATTCAACTCTCACCACCCACAAGGTGGTTCATAACAATCTGTAACACCAGTTCCAGAGGATCTGATGCCCTTTTCTAACCTTGACAGGAACCAGGCATGCATGTAATACACATGCAGGCATGTAGGCAAGACATTCATACACACAGAATAAAGTAACCTGAAAAGCAACAACAGCAACAAAATCTTATAGCTGTTCCCTGGAGTGCAGATCCCAAAAGAGAGCAAGACTAGAAGAGCACAGAGAACTGAAAGTCAGATGTGTCTCAGGATGTGAGGTGGAATGGCACACACGACAGGTGCCTCAGGCAGAGTAGCATTGGAGATAATGGATTGGGAGCGATTATCACCAAAGCACAGTGACAATCGAATCCACCTCTTGAGACATACAACATATGTTGTCATCATTGCATCCCAGCCAACCTTCCCAGTGGTTCTGTCTAAGAAAACTTAGACTGAATCCTACTCCCTGCTTTAGGAAAATGAACCTAGTATATAGACTCTCAAATACTGGAAGTGACCATTTTAGTAACTATACATACCTGTGAAAGGATAAGAACAAAGCTTATGCTCATAAGGTGACACTCAGTGACCCAGATAGTGCCCAGGAGAAGTGCTGTTTGCTTTCCCGGCTCCACTAACCCTGTCAGGTCAGAGAAGGACCTGGTGAGCTTTTTAGACTCAGATATGCTCACTCTTGGCTTTCCATGGTTTCTAGGGTGTGTTATGAACGAGCGACCTTCAGTCCAACAACCCAGACCTTCTTTCTCTCTGCCATTTGGCATGGGGTCTACCCAGGATACTATCTGACTTTTCTAACAGGCGTGTTAATGACGTTAGCAGCTCGGGCTGTAAGTATCAACATTTTTGTTTTATAATTCAGTGAGTGAATCTCCATTTCTTTGGCTGTGATCAGCATCATCTGCCCAGGAGAAGTTAGGTTTGTGACTGTGTTTGGAAGTGAGTGTTCACCCATGCCAATCTTCACACTAACTGTACACCAGGAGAGGCCACACACCTGGCATTCGGGAAGTTCTTAAAACTTGTTATGTGTTTTATGATGTTTTCTGAATCAGAGAAAATAAAGATGGTTAGAATGGGTAGGTCTGAGCCTGGTGGTGGCTGTACATGCCTTTAATCCCATCACCCGGTAGTCAGAGGCAGGTGGTTCCCTGTGAGTTTGATGCCAGCCTAGTCCACAGAGTGATTTCCAGGACATCCAGGGCTGGTAAACAGTGAAACCCTGTCTCAAAAAACTAAAAAAAAAAAAAAAACAAAGCAAAAACAAAACACACACACACACACACACACAAAACCAAACCCAACAACAACAAAAAACCAAAACAAACAAAAAAGATTGGGTAGGTCTGTTCTTCAAAAATATTTTTGTTTCCTGTGGGCTGCAGCCCTTGAGTCCTCTCTCAGTTCAGAGTGGAGTTTGACCACTCATAGGGAAGGAGATGGGCGGTTCCCAGTGGGAGACACTGTGGATGTGGTTCCATCCTGTAGAGTATTTGCTCAGGGGAACCTGGAGCAGTTTGGGGAAACAATTGAGACAGCTTCATACTATGGGAGAGAAAAGGAGAATAAATTGGTGTAAATATTTGGAAATCAACTAGGGAAGTAATGTGTCAAAATGTATGTTTTAACAAGCTTATTATAGCGCCTTATGGGTAAAATAGCTTTGTCTAACAACCTAGCAGATACTCATTTTGATGTACGGGAGGGAATAGCAAGAAAGAGTTACATAGGCTGTAGCTTCTGGTAGTCAATACCAACTGGAGCGTAGTGGGGGAAAGATCGCATCTTAGGCATGCACATTACTTTAGAAAAGTTCAAAAGCCTTAGTGTATTTGGGAAATGGTAGGAAAATATAATTAAGGCAGAGAGTTCGTGTGCATGTGAGTAGCAGATAGTTCTGGATAGGCAGATGGTAGGTAGAAAGGAAGCAGGTGGTGGTGAAGTCTCAACACCAGCCCGGAAGCTTGGTCTCATTCTGTCCCTGGCATCAGGGAGTCAGGCAAGACATGGCTTCTGTTTTGTTTTCTTGGGGTGCTGAAGAATATAGGGCCTCGGATATAGATGAGCACCGTCGTGCTGAGCTACATCCCCGGTCAGTAAGGTTTTGCATCTTGGGGTGGAATGGAACAGTCGTGCTGGAGGAAACGGGCTTGCTGGTAACAGACAGAATGGTATCGGCAGTTCACACTCAAGTAGCAGGGTGAGAATGCAACTCTACAGGCTTGAAGTAGTTGCTGCCACCAGTGTATTTTATATATAATGCTGATGTGGCAAATCTTTTTTGTGTCTTTATTTCTTTTCAGGTGAGAAGTAACTTTAGACACTATTTCATTGAACCCCCTCAACTTAAGTTATTTTATGACATCATAACGTGGGCAGCAACACAAATAACAATAAGTTACACGGTTGTACCGTTTGTGCTTCTTTCTATAAAACCGTCATTCACATTTTACAGGTAAGTGCTACTCTTCAGCTGCCCAAAGGAGTCGCTGTGTTCACAAAGAAAGTCCGTACTAACCAAATAGAATAACAGAAAGTGTCTTAGTCAGGGTTTTATTGCTGTGACATAAAACGCCAGGACCAAAAAGCAAGCTGGGGAGGAAAGGGTTTATTTGGCTGACACTTCTGCATCACTGTACATCATTGTAGGAAGTCAGGACAGGAACTCAAGCAGGGCAGGAACCTGGAGACAGGAGCTGATGCAGAGGCCATGGAGGGTGCTGCTTACTGGCTTTCTCCCCATGGCTTATTCAGCCTGTTTTCTTTTAGAACCCAGGACCACCAGTCCTGGGATGGCACCACCCATCATGGGCTGTACCATTCCACCCTGACATTGAAATCCTTAGCTGACTGGGGATGTAGTTCAGTGCTACGGTGCTTATCTATATTTTGAAGCCCTAGGTACACTCTTCAGCACCCCAAGAAAACAATAATTGAGAAAATGCTTACAGCTGGATCTCATGGAGGCATTCCCTCAACTGAATGGCTTCCTTCTCTGATGACTCTAGTTTGTGTCAAGTTGACACAAACCCAGCCAGTATAGAAACAGAAGATAATAATATCACAGCCACATTTCTGCCATTAAGTATATTATCAGTTTCTTCTTAGTCCTAAACCAAGCAGTCCCGAATCCCTTCATGGTGCACCTCATCCTATTCAGCCCAAAGGTGGAAGTGCAGCTCCCTTAGTGGCATCAGCAGAGGAACTTGCCCCCATCCCAGGAAGACTTGGCTGTAGCCTAAGTTTCCAGAAAGTGGTTAGAAAAGGAAAAGGGGACGTGCTTTACCGATTACTGATTAACTCAATTTTCCAGTCATAGGGAAGTATTTGCACTTACTGCCTCCTTCTCACTCTGCTACGCTTGGCTGACAGCTGAGGTCCTCTGTATTTCAGAAGTCACTGTCTGCAAGTCCATGTTTTTCGTTAATCTTTCATCTGTCCCTGCTCCACCAACATCCACTTCTCCCATGTTAACAATGTCTTTGATAATAAAACCTTGATTCTCTCCATTTCTTCATTTTGTGGGGTTTGGTGACTTAGCACAGGAGTCTATGGTCAAAGAATTAGACACAGACATTAGGATCAAGCTTGATAGCCACACGTAAAAGACAGTTGATTGGTTAAAATGTCCATGTTAGCAAAGTTTATTCATTTTAAAACGTGGGTGGGTGGGCTGTTGGTTGACTTGTCTGTCCCATATTTCTTTTGTCAGTCACTTTGAACTTTCAACTTGGGAAGCAGTTAAGGTTCCATCAGACTCAGAGCTGATTTAGGGACTGATTTTCTGGTGATTTCTCAAGTACGACCTGTATTTGTGGAAGTCACCGTCACATAGTGTTTGTTACCTACTGCTCACGTTGTTTCAGACTTTGTAACTGAGTGACAGTGGGTTTGGGGTAGGCCAAGCAGCGACTTGACTCCTCTTGGCTGTCCAGTGTTCTCTAGTGACCCCACATGTAATTTTGTGGCTACGTTAAGACTGATGGCTCTGCTAATGAATGCCTTTGTTTGTGTCCAGTGTAGCCTCATGATCCTTAACAAACACTGTTATACTCCCAAGCTGGAGGGGCGGGAGGTGGGGGTGGGGGGTGCTGCAGTTCCACACCCCAGCCTACACTTCGGAGAAAGGAAGGAATAAATGCAGTGGATAACCCCATAATCAGGGCCCTTGGTGTTGGCAAAGGTGTGACTGGTAAACCATCGTTCCTTTCCTTTTAGCTCCTGGTATTACTGCCTTCACATCTGCAGTATCTTAGTGTTGCTGTTGCTGCCCGTGAAAAAATCTCCAAGAGGAAAGAGCACACAGGAAAATGTTCAGCTCTCACGGGCTAAAAAGTTTGACGAAAGAGAAAACTCTCTAGGACAAAACAGTTTTTCCTCGACAAATAACGTTTGCAATCAAAACCAAGACACTGCCTCTAGACACTCATCATTAACGCAGTGACTGGGAGAGCGCATGATGGCTGTTTCTCCGCCTGTGAACAGAAACCAGTCCGGACGCCTTTCCAGAGACTAACTGGGTGGAGATGGGACAGTCTCAGATGGGGATTTCCTGTACACCAGATTGGAAACGGAATGAAATAACCCTTCCCATGCCAATGTTCCTGTGGGTCACGCCTTACACAAAATCTTTCCATGTTTCAATAGGGCACTCAGATGTCAGCGTATGCCCTCCAGGTCATATGTGTGCCCTGTTGTTGAATGTACATTGCGTATCCCAAGGCACTAAAGAGGTGGAAAAATGATCATGTCAATCTGGATGATTGAAAGGTTAACTTTTTCCAAATGAATGTCTTGCCTTAAACCTGTCTCCTAAAATGTTGTTCCTGGATGTTATTTTCAAGTGTAGTATCGTAAGGAGACAATTTCACTATTTGATGTGGTGCGCTGCATAGTGGGATTGAGGAGGAGGAGGTTAAACCAGATATTTAAGATTGTGGGTACTTGAAAAATGCAATAAACATCTCAGTATTTGGAGGTTTTTTTGAGGTAGCTCCGAGGGCTGTGTACATGGTAGAGCTGTAAACAGTCAGGGCTGTTAAATTACAGGTAGCTTATTCTGCTGGGAACTTAATTACCTGGTGTCAGTTAGGGGGCCCTTTCAGGAGGACTTTCTTAAACATAATTAAAGGTTGGCAATGTGATATTTTAGGCTTATTTTCTTAAGAAAAAAAAGTAAGAGGGAAGGCGAGGAAAGCAGTCCTGAATGAAGAAAGCACTGTGTGGTCTAGAGCCAGAGGCTTCCTCCTTCCGTGTTCAAGATCAGTGTGACTGTGTGGGACACAAAAGTTTAGTAAGTTGATAATACTGTGGACTTTCTGAAGAAATTTCTCGAGTATAAATTACATAGAATTAGAAGAGATTATATGAGTAACAGTGGTAGATTATTTGAAGATTTTGAAAGAAATCTCCAGTGATTAAGGTTATTGTATGGTTCATAGGTTTCTCGTCCCTTTCATTTTCATTGCTATTTGGGAAAGATTTATGGGAAAGAAAACTTAGTTGCTGAGTCTAAATGACATTTTTAAAAATTAATAAATTAGTTTCTACATTCTTCAACTTCAAGCATTAAAATTCTTCCGTTAAACTCTTGTTAAAATGGGTGTTAGATTCTATCAAAACAAATATGTATTTTCCTCTTAGGGGCCACTCTTGCCTTGAGTGACTGGGTATGTCTTTGATCCAACAGCAGTGTACTGTGGGCTACAGCTGTAAGTGAGGAGAGAATTTGAGGCTGTGGAGCTGAGCCATAGACTTGTGAGAGAAAAACTGGGCTTTTGGGCCTCTGTTATTTGACCAATCTTTTTGTGAAATTTGTTTTGGTTTTGCCTTAAATTTACAAATGAAATGCAAATTATCAGTTTACAATGAGTTTTTTTTTGTTTGTTTTGGTCACTAGTACACTTATGATTAAAGTTGAAGATTTTAGTGGAAGAAGAAAGGCATGGGTGGTACATTTGCTTTTCTGAAGGCAGATTGTTTGCATCTGATTAGGAGAGGAGGGGGGCGGTGCACACCCCCACTCCCAGGGAAGGGGCCCAGTAAATACTTTTTCTTAGTTTTCCCTTGTGTTGAAATCAACCTAGCTGTAGAATTTGAGAGGAAAGAAAAGTGTTGATGGAGAATATCCGCCTGCAAATGTCTCTGCAACTTCATCAGTACCATGGAGAATCCACTCACTATTAAAGAAAGCTATCAAATTCGGAGCTTAAAAAACAGCCCTAGGCATTTCATAAGTGAAAGCTGGAGACCCAGTAGAAACTGCTGAAGGCTTGCCATGTCTATCTAGCTGCTTACAAATCACCCCCATTTATTCCTGTTACCCAAACACATTTTATTTCTAGGCCTATGTACACTTGAGTCACTGTTGCCTGTTTCCTCTCAAGGAATTTATAATCATAGTACTATCATTCAAAAAGCAAGACAATGATCATTGTTGTATTTCAGGAAGATGATCCACAGCTCACTTTCAATTTGACCCAAAGCCTATATAGGAACAAGAAAATTTCCAAACTCCCCAAAAGGCAGTCTGAGATCATATTTTATTTTATTTTATTTTATTTTTGGGTGGCTGTCTTCTAATTTGGAGAAATAATCACGATTATGCAATCTAAAATAAAATAAATCAAATTCTCAATTTTTCTCAAAAAATTATATTCTATAAAATGAACATCTGGTTGGGATGTTTGTAAAGATTATTTTGCTCCTACTTAGGATTTAGACTAACATTTGTGCTACTGTTAATTGTGAAGAGGTCATTATAATATGTGCTTGATGCGTCTTAACCAGCAGAACAGGTTTCAGTGTGTATTTATATTGTTTTTCCATCCCTGGAGTGTCATGAAGTCACTCTAGAAAGGGTCACTCTACATCCTATTTATACTTCTGTTTCGTTATATACTACTCAGGGAAAATAGAACAAAAAATATTCTTCCCTCAGTTTCATTTCCTTGAAACAATAATTGTTAATTTGGTGTGTCTCCACTCAGTGTTTTTAATCAGAACTCAGAGTGACTGGGGAAGCTTGGTTAGCCTCTGGAACACCTAAAGATGGAGAGAAGGCTCCTGGGCTTTGGGGGTGCCGGTCATTTTGTCTTAGAATGCTGGTCCCTACCACGGATGACACCTATACAGGGCTTTCCCACACATGCCACTTTTGAAGTCGCCATCTAGAAAGGGACAATAGCTTCCTCTAAGTACCAACTGGCCTGGCTGGTCCTCTGGCTCTTGCCTAAGGGAGGCCCACCCCTCAACTCTCCAATCCTGTAGGGTGAAGAGCAAAGAGAAGGGGAGGTCACTGTCTGATGCTGCTTTTTATTACTAGAGCTTAAGGTGCTGACTTAAAAAAAAAAAAAAAGGCTGTCTAGCAACAGGAAGAATACCTTTTAATCCATTAACTCAGAGTGGGTAGCAATATGCCATTTCCCCTTTGCTTTCTCTGGTTTCTGTTTCTGCTGGGTAAAACTGGAGAGGATATACCACTAAACACTTCCCCACATATATTGCTGGTTTTACTGGACAGGATTTACCAGCCTGTATCTCCTCAACAATGAATTCATTCAGAGAATCTAGTTATTCTGTATTTTAAATGGCAGAAAGCAATTTTAAATTGCCATCAAAATAACCATGAAAGTTTTATTTTTGAAGAGTAGATTAAACATTTAAGACCAGTGCTTTTCCTGTTTAAAACCTGTACCTCCTCAGTGTTCAACTTGTATATTGATGAGTAAATCTGGACAGTAATACTTATGTTCATAAGTATGAGCTCATTGATTCTAAGAGTTCTATATGATAACTGGCACATTCTTGAGAGAGTAGACTTGTCTAGAGTATTTGCCACTGCTACGTCCCCATTGAGGATTGGTCTGCTCAAACGCATAGTTACAAACCAGTATTTTGAAGGGTTTTATTCAGTCTTTAATAGTCTGCCCTGGCTGAAATTCAACACACCCAGTTTAACCGAGGTGCAGAATTCTAGCTTAACACTGTGACTGCTGTAACCTTACCTGTCCCAAGGACCATATATACCTGTTACACTCCACCAGTCGGAATTTGAGGAATGGCTGATCATTTATACACTTGCCTTGGATGCTAAATTTCTGCTTCCCACTGCCCTTGGAAAAGAAAGTTTGTATCAGTGAGGCTTCTGAATGCAGAAGGGAGAGATTTGCGTCTAAAACAAATCTACTCTGCATTTCAGAGTTCGATGGATTAGGATGTAGCCATTCCCTACAGTGATTTTTCTGTAACACCAAGTCGTCAAATCTATTTGTAGCGAGTGACTCTCCTTACGGAGGAAAATTCAAAGTGGAATTTCCCATGTTGATATTTTCTAAGGATGCTCTTGTAATCAATGACTCAGCTGCTTTTTAAGGCTCTTGTTGTACAGAGGGTGCAGCCCATTACGTTTTAATTAGTAGGCTGCTCAATAATGTTTTGTATGTTCTCAGATAACAATTTATTTTAATAGGTTTTTAACACAATGCAAACTCCAGTGAAGAACTGACAAGACACTCCGTAGGTCATCGATTGGGGAGACTCTGTCAAACAGAACCTAATGACACATTTATACGCCAGCTAATTTGTCTTGCCTTTAAAACTGGTGGTGACTCTCAATGCCATTTTTTATAAAGCAAGGGACAGCCTATCTGTTCTATAAACAGCACTTCAAAGAGCTATGTAGAACCACTGCCTGAAACTGATCCAGTGATACACAGCCACCTCTAGCTATGCTTTCTTACATTTTGCTACTGTAACTAGCACTGGAATATAATGTAAAGCCAAAAGTCACAGAGCAAGGGGAAGTCAAATGACTAAGCAGTTTCTCGGATGCCTGCCTGAAATGGAAGAGTGGCTGGTTGCTGCCCTTTGCCATCTGTATGTCACTGCTCCCTGCAAGGGCTCTGTTTTGGGCTAACTTATTTGGGAGGTTGTTTTGTTAATGATCTTCTCTGTCCTTTCGTGGTGGTGGGGCACATGTAGAGTGTTTGACAGACTTAAAATATGTCTCTTTCCCCATTTTAAATGTCTTTGGTTCTGTCTACACCCGTCTGTCATTGAAATCCGTTTGCCACCGACTTGATCACACATAAAAAGACTCCTGTCTTGAATGAAAATACAGTCTTTCTTCTGTCACCTTTATGCACATGAAGGCACCTCCACACCAGAAGGAGAGCCACGTGAGGCAATAGGAATGAAAGGGGCATGGATTCCTGTGACCTGAAAGTCCCATCCTGTTAAGGTGAAGACTCCTGGCTTCACCTCTGCCTTCCCTTCCAGCTGAGGGCTGGCAGAGTCCTTCTGACCCGAGAGAAGCCTCGGCTCCCACAGCCAGTGTTCACAATATTTCCTTTTGCCTTCCCAGGTGGAGGCTATCATATGGTGGTCTGTGCTTTTTTTTTTATTATTATTATTCCAAAATATTTTTTAAAAGAAGTGTTATTTTTCAACTGATCCACAAGTCAGTTCTCATTGTACGGTGAATTGAAACCATCACTGTGTCAGCTTAAGCTGTGTGGTGATGAACCATAGCCACTCTTGTTAGTCTGTGTCTTCAGAGCTGCACGGTGGCTTATTGCTGGCTTTTAAAGGTGTTTTTTAACTTACATGTTTTTTTTTTCTTATTTGTGTGTCTTTAAAACTGATTAAATGGTAGTTTAAAAGAACCTATGTATGTGTTGGCTTATTTCAGATCTATGGGTAGATGAACCCAGAGAACAATCCTGTGAGCAAATGCTTTTTGTCACTGATTCTTCAATTACTTAAACATTATTTCAGTGAAGTTTTTATTATCATGTGTGGGAACGCACATGTGCCATTTTGCTTGGATGGCCAGAGGACAATATGGAGTCTGTTCTCTCTTCCTTTATGTGGGTCGTGGCTATTGACCTTGGGTCTTAAGGCTTTCCCTCTTAGCCATTTCACTGGCCCTCAACTGTTAGAAAACACTATCATATGTACTTCGGACGGTAACTGAAACCACTCAAAGTTGTTATGAAGATCTATTAGCCTGCAACAGACTAATCATTACAAAAGGCTTCAGTTTTCCTAGTTTGGAAGGAAAAGCAGACTTTAGGGCACCATGGTTGCCTCTCATGTGTGTCCTGACTCAGCTTTTGCTTCTGAGAAGCTGTTCTGAGTTCTTACTGGATATGCAATTTCTCTATAACAGTAACCTGTAGGACCCTCAGTGAGTTCTTCCCCCCCCCTTTTAAAAATTTAAGTTAGAAACAAGCTTCTTTTACATATCAATCCCAGTTCCCTTTCCCTCCTCTCCTCCCCTGCCCCACACTGGTCCCCTATCTCATCCCCTTTCTGCTCACCAGGGAGGGTGAGGTCTTCCATGGGGCATCTTCGAAGTCTGTCATATCATTTGGAGCAGGCCTAGACCCTCCCCTGTGTGTCTAGGATGGGAGAGTATCTTGTGTGGAATGGGCTCCCAAAGTCCATTTGTGTACTAGCGATAAATACTGATCCACTACCAGTGGCCCCATAGATTGCCCAGACCTCCAAACTGACACCCACGATCAGGGGGTCTAGACTAGTCCTATGCTGGTTTCCCAGCTTTCAGTCTGGGGTCCATGAGCTCCCCCTTGTTCAGGTCGGCTGGTTCTGTGGGTTTCTCCATCCTATTCTTGATCCCTTTGCTCATCACGCCTCTCTCTCTGCAACTGGATTCCAGAGTTCAGCTCAGTATTTAGCTTTTGTTGTCTGTTTCTGCTGCCATCAGCTTCTGGATGAAGGCTCTAGGATGGCATAAAAGTAGTCATCAATCTCATTTCAAAGAAGGGCATTTAAGGTAGCCTCTCGACTATTGCTTAGATTATTAGTTGGGGTCAACCTTGTAGATCTCAGGACATTTCCCTAGTGCCAGAATTCTCTTTAAACCTGTAATGGCTCCCTCTATTGCTCTCCTCTATTCTTACCCTGACTAGATCTTCCTGCTCCCTCATGTCTTCCTCTCTCCTCCTCTTCTCCCCTTCTCTTTCTTCTAACTCCCCCCCCCCATGCTTCTAATTAGCTTAGGAGATCTTGTCCCTTTCCCCTTCTCTGGGGGACCATGTATGTCTTTCTTAAGGTCCTCCTTGTTTCCTAGAGAAGCAGTGTGGATTGTAGGCTGCTACTTCTTTGCTCTAGGTCTAAAATCCATATATGAGTGAGTATATACCATGTTTGTCTTTGTGACAGGGTTACTTCACTCAGGATGGTTTCTTCTAGTTCCATCCATTTGCCTTCGAATTTCAAGAATCCATTTTTTTTTTTCCTGCTGAGTAGTACTCCATTGTGTAAATGTACCACATTTTCTCTATCCATTCTTCAGTTGAGGGGCATCTAGGTTGCTTCCAGGTTCTGGCTATTACAAATAGTGCTGCTATGAACAACACTACATACAACATACTACATACAACAGATGTCCTTGTTGTATGAATGTGCATCTTTTGGGTATATGCCAAAGAGTGGAATTGCTGGATCTTGTGGTAGACTGATTCCTATTTTCCTGAGGAACAACCATAATGATTTCCAAAGTAGCTGTACAGGTTTGCACTCCCACCAGTAGTGGAGGAGTGTTCCCATTTCTCCAATCCTCTGCAGCATAAACTCATTGGTGTTTTCTTCAGTGTGTTCTTGAGGCATTTTCTTGATTCCACTGTGAAGAACTGTGGGGGAAATATATTAACTTTTATTTTTAAAAAATCATTTACTATGTATGGTCTGCACCACATGAGTACCTGGTGCCACAGAGGCTAGAAGGCAGCTTTGGATCCATGACTACAGTTCCAGATGGTAGTGAGCTGCCACGTGGGGGCTGGGAGTCAGACTTAGATCTCCTTGAAGAATGAACAGTCTTTGCTCTTAATTGCTGAGCCATCATCTCTCCAGTCCAGTTACACTAACTTTTATTGTTAATTTGAGATGCTGGGTTGACCATTCAAAGAAATCCTCTGTGGAACACTTGAAAATAGCAGTGTGTTGTCACCCGTCACCCCTCCCCCCTTTAGTTACCTTCCAAAGGATGTATGGCCGTGCCTTCAAGGACTGCTTAAGTTAGACTAAGAGTACAAGTAGTTTGTATACAGAATCTCTGTCCAAGTACCAGGTAAAGGAGAAGTCAGGTGAAGGAGAAAGGATTGCTTCCCTTGCCTTGGATGAGCTATGGTGAGCAAAGCCTTAGAGTCCCACCTCCACCCCCAGCACAAAGTGCCTGTGCAGTGGTGGAAGGAGGTAGAGCCTGAGGAGTATGTCTACTTCCAGGAGCTCCTCTTTGCTGCACTGGGATGCTGGGATTAGTGCCTGGCTGGAGAAAAAAAAAAAAAAAAAGCTAGGTCAAGGATTCTCCAGTGTGTTAATCATGGTAGACTAGGACAGCAGGAGTTGAGACAGTTTATTCTGCCTGCAATTTGCTGACCTATTTAACAGTAACTTTTCCCCCAGTTAGGAACAGGAATAGTGGGGAAATTGTTTAGCCTTTAATTGTTTAAAAGAAGCTCAAGCCTGTAGGTACAGAACAGACCCGAATTGAACAGATGTTCCTGCTTTTACCACAGCAGAGTCCTATTTTTCTTGAGGGCTAGGGATGGACTGCAGGGCCTTGTACTTGCTAGGCCAGTGTCCCACGGCTCTGCACTCCAGCCTCACTTTTCATAAGAAGAATATTGCACACAAGGCCTGCATGCCTACCTGTGATGTTTAATCTTTGTCAGCCTGACTGGATTTAAAATCACCAAGAGGTATACCTCTGGTTATGTCTGTGAGGAACACCCACTCTGATGTGGGCAGCAACATGTCATGGGCTGGCATCCTGGAAAGTAAGCTGGGCTCAGTGTTTATCTCCTGTCTGCCCCCTAATTGTAGAGACAGTGTGACCAGTTATGCCCCGCCTCCCTTCTGTGATAGACAGTACTCTCAAACTGTAAGCTATAATAAGCCTTCCTCAAATTACTTTTGGTGGGTTATATTTGTCATAGAAACAAAAAGTGACCTACCACCTGTCTCTCTCCCCACTCAGAAGTTAACAGTGTCAGTGTGAGCGGGGTAGGCTTTTCATTCACAATGTGAATTTTAAAAACAATGTTGTTTACTTCCCAGCCTTCCTAGGTTTAGTGAACCCTAACTGTAGGTTGTGCTAGTTCCAGCTGCTTGTTGGTGGAACCAAGTATCAGCTTCAGTTTTTAAAGTCATTAAATACTGCACTCTTCTTTGTTCTTATCAACTCTTACTCTGCATCCCTCTTATTGTTTAGGGATGCTGTGTTTTATGCTTGAGTCTTCGTCACAACCTCCACAGCAAAATGGGACATCTTAGGCCATCAGGGAGCAGGACTTGAAGGCTGAGCAAGACAAAGGCAGACAGGCTGAGGTCCCGGGATGCTACCCATGGCTGCTATCTCTTTCTTCAAAGGTGTGTGTGTGTGTGTATGTGCATGTAAGAGTACACACAAGTGCATTCCAGAAGAGGATGTTATCCTTGGTTGCCATCGCTTTTCTTCAAATAGTGTGTGTGTGTGTGTGTGTGTGTGTGTGTGTGTGTGTGTGAACCTGTGTGTGCACGTGTGTGTACAAGTGAATTCCACACAAGAATGTTGAGTATTGTTCTCTATCACTCTATTTTTCCTTTGAGGCATGATCTCTCCCTGAATCTTGGGCTTCTGTTTTCTTGGCTGGGTTGGAAGCCAGCAAGCTTTAGTGATCTTCCTGTTCCACCTTCCACCCTATCACTCCACTCAACCCCACCCCCTGCCTAGAGCTGAGGTTATAGGCCATAGCAGGACACCTAGCTTGTTAAAATGTGGGTGTTTGTTATATGATATGGGTGTTGGGATCCATTATGATTTACACACAGGCACTCTTAACTCCAGCTCTGTCCACCCACCATTCTTTTTTTTTTTTTTCTCTCATCATAGTAAATGGACGTGCACCTTTCTTACAGCATGAATATGGGAGTTGCTATATAAGCAAGGTTTACAATTTGAACTTAATTGCTGCCTATTTATGGCCATTGTTGGGCAAGTGAGCTTCACAGCACCCCAGAGGCTGTGGAAAGTTGAATTCAGTAATGCCTGAGTCATTAGCTTCACGAAGATGTTAATTCACATGACCTTAGAGTCAGGCTTCCCTCCTGGAGGGCTTGGGAGGGAACAAGATAGCTAACAAGCAACAGAAACCTATCTTATGGCCCTCAGGCTTTTTGTTGGTTAGCACAGTGCCTCTGCTCTTTTGCCATCTCCTAACACTCAAGCCCCTATTACAAGGCTTATTTGGGCGCTTTTTGTTGAAGAACTTTGCTGATTTCCAATCTTGCTTGATGCTTATAATTAAGCATGTTCACACCTTGATATTCTTTCTAGGTTCCTGAGGTATCTCTGGATAGTTGTTCTATCTTCAGCTCCTGTTCCCTATGCCTCTCTCATAGTCTGGGCTCCGCCATCATTCCCTTCCTGCAAACACACACACACACACACACACACACACACACACACACACACCTTTTTCTGTCTTGCTCAGCCTATCTCCCTCTCAGTTACCCAGTGGGTATATACCTGCTCAATATCGCTACCTGGAACACAGGTACCTCTAACTCAGCGCATCTAAAAGCAGACCCCAATCCATGTGATCACTCTGGAAGCTT